CCCCTTTGGTACCGGTTCGTGGCACGAACCGGTACTAAAGGTTCAACACGAACCGGCATTAATGTATAGCCGTTCAAACCGGGACTAATGGTACCATTAGTACCGAACCAAAATTGAACCGAGACTAATGTGTCTCACATTAGGTCTTTTTTCTACTAGTGGCATTCACACGAGCCATCCACACGAGCAGCTAGCTCTGCTGGATGGTGGGTGCCGGCCGTGCATGGTGCCCCACGCGAGCTAGCTAGCTTCGCTGCTGCAGCCGCTAGCCTCGCGTCTCGTTCACGCCCGCGCCCGATGCTCGCCATGCCGCGCCGTGCCCGCTTTGCCTCGCTGCAAGCTCCCCGCCTGCTACGTGTTCGGCGAAATGCTGGGACGGACATGCAAAAAAATGCGTTCCGCCCACGTTGGGCGCATCAGCCGAGGCAAATGAAAAAGCGGACACGGCGGGGCGGATGGCCGACCCAAACAGACAAAATGCGGACAAAACGCGTGTCCATTTGGGTCGGTCCGTTGGAGTTGCTCTTAGTGTCTGCTATTAGTGTATAGCAGTGAATGAGAGGAGGTTGTCCCGCAAAAAAGAAAAAAGAAATGAGAGGGCGTTGAGATTCTTTTTTAATTTCCAGACGTTTGTTTTCTCCATAAGCGGCTAGATAAGCGCCTAGCATTGTGGATGCTCTAAGATGGCTTCAAACATCATGCAGTACCGCTATTGGGGTTAATTTCATTATGCATTGGTTGACAGGTTGTAGAGCACACGAGGAGGCTTGTGCTTTGCTTCTTCATCCTCATTTCACTCTCTCAAGGAACAGTGCTCTTTGCTTTTGGGAAGGGCCGTTTATGAACTGCATTCCGTGTCATGGTTGAAGTTGTATATTGTTATTTTCAGTTCAGATTCAGTGCCCACATTGTGTACTCTGTCACTGTGAGCTGCGAGTGCCATCGTGACATCATGCCAATGGCAAGGCAGATCAGAGCTTAAACTTATTTTCTGATCGGAGTAGGTTTTACACAATTTACAGAAGGCGTTGAAAGGAATATTGAAGAGGCTCATAATCTCTTGTTGTGCTAACATTTATTGAGTGCACTATCATGGTGTCTTGGATCCAAGATCAAGACGTGTAATGCTTCAGACACATTCAGAGAAGTCGACGACGTCACTGGTTGATCGGCAGCCCGTTCTCCTTCCAAGCAGAAAACCCTCCGGCGATGTCGGTCACGCCACTGAAGCCCTGAAAAAAGGTTGCATCACACGCATCACAGAGAGCAGTTTGTGAAACAGCAGCGATGATGAGATGGATTGCCATAATGCCATTGACGTGCTTACAGCGGAGCAGAGTTCGGCTGCTGCCATGAGAGATCTCCTGCCACTCTGGCATCCCTGGAGTTAAGTTTTGAGAATGTAAGGAGGATATGACAACTCAAATGAAAGCACAAAAAAAA